AGGATTGCTTGAGCCCAGGAGTTTGAGGTTGCTGTGAGCTAGGCTGATGCCACGGCACTCACTCTAGCCTGGACAACAAAGCGAGACTCTGTCTGAAAACAAAACAAAACAAAACAAAAAACTTATTTGGATTTTTTTATATTTCAAATTATTGTCGAGTCACTGACACTTGACATCTGAGTGCAAAGGGTTAAAAATCTGAAGATCCTAGATTAGTGATAACTTAATTTATTACAAAAGAAAACAGATCTTACATAGGTGCCCTCTGATAGAAATCTGCATAAACATGCATGGTTCTCAGATCTCAGTAAAAAAAAAAAGAATAAATAAATAAAAAAAAAAAGAAATCTGCATAAACATTTATTGATGTCTTCAAGGAAAAATAACTTGGAAAAAATCCTTATTATGAATTAAGTAAAGAAAACATAGTAAAATCATACTCTATAAACTTTTTAGCTGAACTGTTATATGTAGTGTTTATAAGTTTTGATGTTATTCTTACCTCTTGATCTAGTGATTCCATTTTAGTTGATAGATTTTACTAGCAGGTGTAAGTGGGTTGAGAAGAGGAACCTTAGAATATCTGGAAATACATGTGTGTGCCACCACACCTGGCTACGTTTTTTATTTTTTTAGAGATGGGTCTGGCTGTTGCCGGGTCTGGTCTCAAACTCCTGGCCTCAAGCAATCTTCCTACCTTGACCTCTCAAAGTGCTAGGATTGTAGGTTTGAGCCACTGTGCCCAGCCTGAATATCATATATGTTGATGAATTTTCACTGGCAATACAACATGTTCCTTTTTGTGCTCCTTTCCCTGAAAATATAATTGTGCCTTTATATGGTTTTTAAAGTACATTATGATATTCCAGTTCTTAGGAATATCTTTAGACCTTTGACTATCACCATTTAAGTCAGTAAATTAATGGGGAAGTAAGGAAACCATTCATGGAAACTCATTTCTGGTGTTTTGTTTTGTTTTGTTTTGTTTTTTAAGACAAAGTCTCGCTTTGTTGCCCAGGCTAGAGTGAGTGCCATGGTGTCAGCCTAGCTCACAGCAACCTCAATCTCCTGGCTCAAGCAATCCTTCTGCCTCAGCCTCCCAAGTAGCTGGGACTACAGGCATGCGCCACCATGCCCGGCTAATTTTTTATATATATATTAGTTGGCCAATTAATTTCTTTCTATTTATAGTAGAGACAGGGTCTCGCTCTCGCTCAGGCTGGTTTCGAACTCCTGACCTTGAGCAATCCGCCCGCCTCGGCCTCCCAAAGTGCTAGGATTACAGGCGTGAGCCACCACGCCGGGCTAGAATTTGTTTTTATTATTGCCCAGAATAGAGTCTCAATACAGCAAAAGAGGTCTGCATATATACTTTTTGCTACATTGAATTAATAGTTTCCTCCTGTATAAAATGGGGTAGTCCACAGTGCCTGGCACAATGGACTTAATGAAAGGTAGGTATGTTAGTTGCTGTTCCCTACTTTGAAACCATCATCTGCCAATTTGCCCTTCACATAGAAATCATCCTCTCCCAGTCTTGTCTCAGTCACCAGAGAATGTCAGTTATGTAATCCTCTCTAGACTCCTTTTCACCCTCTGACATAGAATTGCATCTTTATGCTTCTCACCTACTTTATTGCAATGGCTTGCTATCTCATCTCCCTGCTCTCAGACTTCTCTCTGCTATTTTTAGGTGATTTTTTTTTTTGAGATCGTCCCTTCTCCCTTTCCCCCTTTAAGTGGAATTGCTGTTTTCTTCCTTTTACTTATGAATGACAATGAGATAATTACAGACATTATAACATTTATTCATTCATATTTCAGCGAACATCTAAAAGATCAGGACATTCTTCCGCATAATCACAATACCGTTATTATACCTAACCAAATTTACTGTAATTCCCTATTATATTCACATGCCCAATTTATATTAATGTTTCTCCATTGTCTCCCAGAATATTCACCACTTTCTTTCTCAGACCTGGTGATGACTAAAAGGATTTATTGATCCTCTGGCCTAGATTAGTTCCTTTCTTCCATAGTTCCATGGTAATCTCAGTATGTATCAATGTTATAGTTTATCTCACAGGTTCATTGGTATGTTTTCCTTTGAGGGCAACAATTGTTTTTTTGAATCTCTTCCTTTCTGAGGGCAAGTATTAAAGATTTCTGTAATCCTCAGTGTCCCTAAATGGATGATATTTTCAGAGAAAGGAAAGTAGGCTGGGCATTTGTGAGAATTTCCTGCTGGTTACATGCTAGGGTAAAATCATCGCTTCCATTTTCACATGCCTGGCAGTGGTAGTCATCATTGTCATCTGTTTGGCCCTGCACTAGAAATAGTACTGCCTGTCTCTCAATATGATGCATCCCACCCATCTACCTTATATTAGAGAAACATCTATGTTTATTTTCTCATTTCCTGTAGAGAGATAAGTCTGAATGTCTTATTTGTAAATTGTAGCTTTCTTTTTCATTGTAACACAAAACTGTAAATGTTCTTTTGTGGCCTATTTCTTTTTAAAAGAGGTTTTTTTCCCCCCTCAAAGAGGTGATTTGCATAGGTGATTTCTGCATGTATTTGCCATCAGAGTGCCTTACAAAAGTGTTTTTTGACTGCTTTTTTACCTTATCATCTTTATAACACTTTTAAAGTATACAGATTACCAAGGGATTACATTCAAAATTAAATAAGTATTTGAGATTATAAAAGGAGAGTTTGCATAAATGTATGTGATATTACTTTTGTATCTACAGAAAGAATGGAGGGAAGACAGAAATGGAGAATTTAAAAGAAAAGTTGCCCGCTGTGTAAGAAAAAGCCAAGAGACTGCTTTTGAGTGACATTTATTTAGCAGCTAGTAACTTCACTTACTTCAGGGTAAGTTTATTTAAAAGTCATACTTTGCTTTTTTGTGTCAAGTAAGTTTTGGGGAATCGTGCGATTTCGGTATTTGAATTGCTTGATTTTCACTGACTTCATTTTCTTAGTAGTATTATCCATTAGTCTCCTGGCTCTGAAGGATACAGAATAACCTGCTAATTTGCTCTTTTATTACACTCAGCTGTTTTTAACTGATAGTAAAATTTCTATTGATAAAAGAAAGATCATATTTCATAATAAACTGCCAAGACCATCAAACGTTTGCTTCTTTCTTTTTAAGTTAGTCTTTTATTTCCTTGGTTTTTACTGGTAAGGTCACTAGGAAAAATTTATTTTATTGTATAACCTCTGTCTACAGTTTTATTTTAGGTCTAGTAAGGAATCAAAGATGGAAGGTACCTATTTGCCTTACGGGAGGATATAATGTAGATGAATTGTCCAAATATGGGTTATTTAGTTTTTTGTTTTTTTTTTTTAATATTTAAATATTGGCTGGGTGCAGTGGCTCATGCCTGTAACCCTAGCACTCTGGCTGAGGTGAGCGGATCGTTTGAGCTCAGGAGTTCAAGACCAGCCTGAGCAAGAGCAAGATCCCATCTCTACTAAAAAAACAGAAAGAAATTAGCTGGACAACTAAAAATATATAGAAAAAATTAGCTGGGTATGGTGGTTTATACCTGTAGTCCCAGCTGCTCAGGAGGCCGAGGCAGTGGGATCGCTTGAGCCCAAGAGTTTGAGGTTATAAGCTAGGCTGATGCCATGGCACTCACTCTAGCCTGGGCAGCAAAGCAAGACTCTGTCTCAAAAAAAAAAACCCAAAAACCATTAAATATCAAGTTGATAAGAAGTATGAAATGTAGCATCTAAAGAATCACAATTCATGGCACACCCCTGAATTCACCACCTATTTTAAGAAAATGAACATTACTGTTACCTTTTATATCCCCTATACTCCCTTCCTCTGTCCCATCCTATTTTTCTCATATTCCTAATTCCGTGTTTACCATTGCTGTTCTTCAAAATTTTACCAAGTTTACATTTTTAAACAATGTATTACACATTTTTTGAGCAGCATATATGAGGAATTACAATGGGTATGTTATTTCATAGTTTTTGTTCAATATTCTTCAAGTTGATCTGTGTTGCAAATAGATACATTTCATCTCTTTGCTTTTGTGTACTATTTCAATAGATAAATTATCTGTCTCAGCTGGGCGTGGTGGCTCACGCTTGTAACCCTAGCACTCTGGGAGGCTGAGGCAGGCGGATTGCTCAAGGTCAGGAGTTCAAAACCAGCCTGAGCAAGAGCAAGACCCTGTCTCTACTATAAATAGAAAGAAATTAATTGGCCAACTAATATATATAGAAAAAATTAGCCGGGCATGGTGGCACATGCCTGTAGTCCCAGCTACTCGGGAGGCTGAGGCAGAAGGATTGCTTGAGCCCAGGAGTTTGAGGTTGCTGTGAGCTAGGCTGATGCCACGGCACTCACTCTAGCCTGGACAACAAAGCGAGACTCTGTCTCAAAAAAAAAAAAAAAAAAATTATCCCTCTATTCTTTTTCTCAGTGCAGTTATTTTCCAAATTGGAGTAGGGGTTTTTGTTTTTGCTATTAGAGTGTGGCTTTGTTTCCTGATTCATACATACTACCAGAGTTTCTCTAGGGTACATACCTAGAGGTGGAATTGTTAAGGATACATTCACATCACTTTGACTAGATAATGCCAAATTGTTTTCCAAAGTGTTGCATCTGTTTATACTTTTGTTTGTTTGTTTGTTTATACTCTTATTGGGAAGAATAAGGATCCCATTTGCTGCATATCCTCTCCAATATTTGATATTATCAGACATCTGAAAAATTATTAATTAGGATGTTGTAAAATGTTAGGTTATTGTGAACTTAATGTGCATTACCCTATTCACCGATGAAATTGCATAGCATTTCATGTGATTGACCATTGAGGTTTCTTCTATGAAATGCCTGTTCAGATTTTTAGACTATTTTTCTGTTAGATTGTTATTTGGAATACTTGTCATTTTATTTTCTTTAGACTATCTTTGGATGAATAAGAGGGTCTTAATTTTAATACACTTGAATTTATTAGTCCTTTCCTTTATGGATTTTAGTTTTTGTGTCTTAGTTAAGAAATCCGAATCTTCTTTGCCATCAAGGAAAGAAAACTTTTTGTATTCTAAAAGTTTTGGCCGGGCGCGGTGGCTCACGCCTGTAATCCCAGCACTCTGGGAGGCCGAGGCGGGCTGATTGCTCGAGGTCAGGAGTTCGAAACCAGCCTGAGCAAGAGCGAGACCCCATCTCTACTATAAATAGAAAGAAATTAATTGGCCAACTAATATATATAGAAAAAACTAGCTGGGCATGGTGGTGCATGCCTGTAGTCCCAGCTACTGGGGTGGCTGAGGCAGAAGGATTGCTTGAGCTCAGGAGTGTGAGGTTGCTGTGAGCTAGGCTGACGCCACGGCACTCACTCTAGCCTGG